TCTGTGCATGGCAGGGGGTGGCACCAACCTCTCCATCGACCCGGCCTTGAGTGTGAGAGGGGGCGGTGCCCACACTCCCCAATGCGCCCTGCTCTGAGGCCGACCAGGGGCTGCACCTAGGGATTGGGCCTGCCCTCTGCCACCCGGGAGCAGGCCTAAGCCAGCAGGTCGTTATCTCCTGAGGGGTCCCAGACTGTGAGAGGACACAGGCGGGCGCTATTTTTGTGCATCGGCCCTCTAGTATATATATAAAAAGGCTAATATTCCTCGACTGGGAAACCGGGAATTCTGTCGCTCACTATGACATGCACTGACCACCAGGGGCAGTGTGGAACAAAGGAAGGCCCTGGCCGGCAGCCAGAAGGCCCCAATTGGCCCTTATCGCCGACCAGGCCTAGAGACCCTACCCATATGTGAATTTTGTGAACCGGGCCTCTAGTATACACATAAGACTTTACATAGACATATGCCTTACTATAAGCATAAGAGAACTGTAAAGTACCATTTCCTCAAATAGAGAGTATCTTACAAATTGAATAGCTATATGGGGTTTATTTAGGCATGTTTCAAGTAAATGCAATAATCAGGGAAGCTTTTTCACAGGAAGTTGAAATTTTCCTATTGCATTAATAACTCAGTCTTTAAAATGAATAGAAGCCTCTTCTTTATGTTTATAAATTATTTAAAATGATTATGTATTCTTTTCCAAATCAATGTGATGACTTATCTTTTGTTTACCTGTCTATATTTTACAGGGCCGAGTAGTGGAGAATATTTCAAAAAGATGTGGGGGCTTTTTACGAAAGTTAAGTCTTCGTGGGTGTCTTGGGGTAGGAGACAATGCATTAAGGTAAGAACATAACTATTGATTAACTGATCTTCCATAACTGAAGTAAAGAAAGCACCATCTCATCCAGAAAAGGTTAAAATGGTTTTAAGCTTTTTATAAAGAAAGTTACTGCTTTCTTTAAGCTATTCTGAACTCAAAGACACATACATGCTTGTAGTACAAAGATATCCAGTAGTGGGATATAGGGTTTTGAGAATAAAACAAGAACTAGTGCCCCCTCCAAAAAAGCCAAATTCCCCATATCATAAATAGTTCTTTTGAAGCCTTGAGTAAATTTGGGGGTTTTTTTGTTTGTTTTCTCAAAGTTAAGATAATTTTAACCTTGGTTGACAAAAAGATCAATGTTAAAAGTTTGTGGTTGAGCCCAAGCTGGTTTGGCTCAGTGGATAGAATGTCATCCCTCGGACTGAAGGGTCATGGGGTTCGATTCTGGTCAAGGGCACATAGCTTGATTTAGGCTTGATTCCCGGATGGCCCTAGTTGGGGTGCTTGTAGGAGATAACCAGTGTGTCTCTCTCATATCAATGTTTCTCTCTGTGTGTGTTTCCCCCTCCCTTCCACTTTTTCTAAAAAATCAATAGAAAAATATCCTCAGGTGAGGTTTAACCCTCTGCACCCGCAAAAAAAATGTTTATGGTTGAAAATTTATTTGTGATTGTGAACTACTTTTGTACCAATATTCAATATTACCAATAATATATATACGTACATATATATACACAAACACACACACACACACACACACACACACACACACACACACACACACACATATTGTGCTGTGTCAGCACAGCCAAGGGTTCAGGGAGCCTGAGGGGGACACGGCGAAGGATGTAGGAAAGACAAAGAGAATAAGCTGAGTCTAGGTCAGCAGTTCTCAACCTGTGGGTCATGACCCCTTTGGGGGTTGAACGACCCTTTCACAGGGGTCGCCTAAGACCATTGGAAAACACATATATAATTACATATTGTTTTTGTGATTAATCACTATGCTTTAATTATGTTCAATTTAGCCAGAGGTAAACAAGGTAGTGGTCCCCATAGTTACAATGTTCTTGTGAGTTTCACTTGTTTTGGCAGCACTTGCTGCAAAGCCCATTAGCTACCCAGGTAAGATCTAGGAAGCTCATAAGGTCAAGCCTCATTATGCTAAGAGGGCTGTGCCCTCTAAGCTGGGACTTGTTTGTGGCTTTGCCAATAGGTCAGTCCAAGGCTTAACCCTATAGCCGCTCCCTACAATATGTATCTTTTATTACTTTTTTTTTTAATATATTTAATTGATTTTTTTACAGAGAGGAAGGGAGAGGGATAGAGGGAAACATCGATGAGAGAGAAACATCGATCAGCTGCCTCCTGCACACCCCCTACTGGGGATGTGTTCGCAAGGAAGGTACATGCCCTTGACCGGAATCAAACCTGGGACCCTTCAGTCCGCAGGCCGACACTCTATCCACTGAGCCAACCCGGTTATGGCTCCTTTATTACTTTTTAAATACCAGAATTGTGCCGGTTTCATTTCAAACCTTTTGTTTGTTTTTTTTCCTGTGAAGGACGTTTGCACAAAACTGTAGGAACATTGAAGTACTAAATTTAAATGGGTGTACAAAGACTACAGACGCGTAAGTATTTTGTGTTTTAGAAGGGTAAATCATAGCCCTTTGTGTCTTGCCTATAGAGGCTTTAAATGCATGCTACTAAATACATTTAGCAAATTTCATTTTGGTATTATAAAAGAAAGATATTTTAAAAGGAGAAAGTAACATTAAAGTAGCAATGAAATAAGGCATTTATTTTGGAATCTGGTGCAAATCCTATCTTGATCTTTTAAGTGAACTTAAAAACAGTAATCATTGAATATGCAGTAGGGATAATAATGATATAAATTACTAGGACAACTTATATTTCAAGAAGATACTAGTGGCTGTCATTCAGAAGATATGGTAAACATAATTTTATAAAAACATGTAAAATCTTACACCTGGGACTAAACATTGTGATAATCAATATTGAGAGTATTGATTAAATGACTTTGAATGTACTGTGTTTGTATTGGTCATAATATAAAAGAAATAAATTCTGATCCTTCATTCTTGAGAGTTTATCATCACAGACACAATAGACATCAAAGGTAAACATTTTTATAGCTCAAGAATATCTATTGGTAATAACATGTATCAAATAACATTTACATATTAGATAGGGAAGTTGTTGCCTATTGTGAGGTGAAGTGAAACCATTGGGAAATTATGTTTTCACAGCAAAGGGCCAGAATTATTCACTGAATTTTCCTGTTTATTTCTTTCTTCGAGGTCACAACATTGTTCACTTAAACATAGGAAAGTATTTGAAAGACAAGGACTATGGTTATTAACAGGTATTACTCCTATGGATTGATTTGGAAATCTTTAATAGGAGAGACAGTTTACTAACCCCTCCTCCAGCCATTACTTTATACCAGTAGCCCAACATTTTCTTTAGATAAATTACCTGTTTATTTTTTCCTTTGAATACTTAATGTAATAGAGATTAAGAATTTGACCACTTGGTATCTAAAAAGTGACATATAATTTACACATTTTTCTAGGAATTTATATACCAAAGATACACTGGCAAAAATCTAATACGGCTTATGTACAAAGCTATTCGTTTTTACTGTTTGTAATAGCAAATACTGCATTATTTTTTTAATGTTTTTATTTTTAGAGGAAACGAGAGAAACGTCGGTGAGAGAGAAACATTCATTGGCTGCCGCTCACACACTCCCTACGGGGGATCGAACCCATGACCTCCTGGTTCATAGGTCAATGCTCAATCACTGAGCCACACCAGCTGGGCACTACTGCATTATTCTTAATAGCAAATGACAGAAAACAATCCAAATGTCTATTAGTAGATGTCTGGTTAAAAAAAAGGAATGAACCCTAGCCGGTTTGGCTCAATGGATAAAGTGTCAGCCTGGAGACTGAAGAGTCCTTGGTTTGATTCCAGTCAAGGACGTGTACCTTGGTTGCAGGTTCCCTGGCCCTGGTTGGGTGCGTGCCGGAGGCAACCAATAGATGTGTCTCTCTCACATCAATGTTTCTCTCTGTCTCTCCCTCTCCCTTCCACTCTCTAAAAATCAATGGAAAAATATCTTTGGGTGAGGATTAACAAACAAAAAAAAGAAGGAATGAGGAGAATCTTTCTGTAGTACACTGGAGTGATTGAAAGAACATACTGTTAAAAAAGCAAGCTGCAGAAGAATTTGTATAATAAGATAACCTTTTGTAGGGTTAGGGGATATAATACAAATATATATTCATACTTATTTTCTAGAAAAAGCAATGGAAAGGTAATCAGAAACTAATAAAAATGGTTACCTATTTGGGAGAGAGAACACCAAGAGACAGGAATGAAAGAGACTTCTGAAGTATCATGTTTTATACCTTAATAGCCATGTAAATGTTCTACATAATTAAAACATGAATTAAGCCAGAAAGAAATCAAAGCAGTCCCTGACAATCAAAAACAAAACACATGAACCCAGCCATAACAAATTGGAGCTATAACCACCAGAGAGAAATAACTTACTGACTTTTGACTTCTTAGAACACATTTTAAACATATGCCAAAGTAGACAAAATTGAACCCATCAGCCATCTTCAAATTGATAATTGAGAATTTATTACTTAATGGCTAGTCTTGTGTCGCCTTACCCCCTCATTTATCTTCTTTTGAAAAACGTCTTAGACATTATATTATTTAATCAATAAGTAGGCATTTCTAAAAGTTAAAGGCTGAGTCTGTTCTTTCTATTCCTTCTGTGGTCCCCCTGGGAAAACAACCCTCCCACACATACAGAATTTTCAGATTCAGTCAAACATTACAGCACACAAAGAAGCAGGAAATGATACTAGAAGAAGAGCCAGAAGGAAAAACCAGCCAATGGAAACAGACACAGAAATGACAGAGATTATAAAATTGAACAATAAAGAGTTTGAAAATAGCAGTTACAAATATGCTAAAAAATTTTAAGGGAAACAAAGATAATATAGATATTAAAAGGATGGAAAAAGATATACTATTGCAAACACTAGTCACAGGAAGGTTAAAGTGGTTATTAATATCAGCTGATGATGTAAACTTCAGGAAGAAGAGTGGATGCAAAAGATACTAAGTGGTGCCCTCATCTTTCAGTAAATGATTAAATTTGTATATCAAAACCAGTAAAATTATAGAAACTTGAGCAACACTATCAGTGAACTTGTCCTTTTTTTATATATATAAATTTTATTGCCCCCCCAACTTGTCCTAATTGACATTTATAGAATGCTATACCAAAAAGCATCAGAATAAGCTTTTCAAGTGCACTTGGAATACTCAATAATACACACCAAGTAATGGGCCATAAAACAAATTTCAATAAATTTACAAGAATTGAAATCCTATTGAATGTGTTCTATAGCATCAACAGTATTTAAGTAGAAATCAACAACACGTCTATAATAATAAAAGTGTAATATGCTATTTAGACTGGATGTCCTTCGGAAGACCTTCCAGATGAAGCCAGGGCTTCAAGGGAAGCTCATGCCAGCAGCTGGGGGAAGGAAGGCCTACTCTTGCACGAATTTCGTGCATCGGGCCTCTAGTATCTAAATAATGTAAAAATTAAATACCACCTTCTGAATAACCTATGCATCAAGGAATAAATTACAAAGGAAATTAGAAAATATGTTTTGCTGTGTGATATGAAGACACAACATTGAGATTTGTAAAATGCACCAAAGGCAGTGAAGTTCTTAGGGAAAAGTGTATAGCTTTAAATACGTATACAGATTTCTCCTGCTAGCTGAAAGGTACTCTAGGAAACCTTTCTTAAGCCAAATTTATATAAAATAATGAAGCTTTGGACACCTTAAGAGATGAACAAAATAAACTGAGACAAAGCACAGATGCTCAGACATAGTTCAAAGCCAGGGTGACTTGCCCTGGCCAGTGTGGCTCAGTTGATAGGAGTGTCCTCCCATACACTGAAAGGTGGCAGTTCAATTCCTGGTCAGGGCACATATCCAGGTCTGGGTTAAATCCCTGTCAGGGTACTTATGGGAGGCAACCAATCCATGTTTCTCTTTCTCCTTTACTCTCTCTGACATTTAAAAATGTCAGAACGATTCTCGACTTTGGACTATATAACAGTAGGTAACTGATGAGATTTACTGTCCTCTAGAAAAAAAGAACAAAAGCCACATGATGATCCAGTGTGATAGGCAGCCTCTAAAAAGGCCCCCAAGTAATTCCTACCTCCCTGGTATTCACACCCTTGTGAAAGTCCCCTGCATGCACTGAACCTAATTAAGGTCTCATTTCTAACAATAGAAAACAGCAAAAGAGATTGGGTGTCACTTTGGAGGTTAGGTTACAAAAAGATTGTGACTTCTGTCTTGCTCTACTTTTGCTCAGGGCTCTGACTTGTCGGGGGAGCAGGGCCAGTTGCCCTGTTTTGAGTAGTTCTGTGGAGAGGCCCATGTGGCTAAGAGGTGAGGTCTCTGGCCAAGAGCCAGTGAGGACCTAAAGCCTACCAAAAACCAAATGAGTGAACCTCGAGTTGGATCTTCTGAGGTCTGCCAAAAGCTACTTAAATGAGCTTGGAAGGGAATCTGTACTCAGTTAATCTTTGAGATGACTACAGCTGTGGCCAATCCCTTGTTTACAGTCTTGTGAGAGACCCTGAGTCAGAGGCACCCTGCTAAACTGCCTGTGCAGGTATTCCTGGCCTACAGACTCTGTGAAATAATAAGCTTCTTACTTTGGGGCAATCTCTTATACAACAACAGATAACTAGTACATCATTAGACAAGAAAGCACACAACAAAATCCAGCACCCATTCATGATAAAAATTCTCAACAAACTAGGAAGAGAAAGGCATTCCCTCAATCTGGTCAAAGGTGTCCATGAGAAACTTACTGCTAGCCATCATACTTAATGGTGAAACACTGAATGCTTCACCCTAAGGCAGTGATGGCGAACCTTTTGAGCTCGGCGTGTCAGCATTTTGAAAAACCCTAACTTAACTCTGGTGCCGTGTCACATATAGAAATTTTTTGATATTTGCAACCATAGTAAAACAAAGATTTATATTTTTGATATTTATTTTATATATTTAAATGCCATTTAACAAAGAAAAATCAACCCATAAAATGAGTTCGCGTGTCACCTCTGACACGTGTGTCATAGGTTCGCCATCACTGCCCTAAGGTCAGAAGCCAGGATGTTAACTCTTGCCATTTCTATTTAACATTCTTTTGGAGATTCTGACCAATGCAGTCAGTTCATTACAGAATTACAAAATAAAAGCCCAATAGAAGATTATATTCCATACCCACTAAAATGGCTATAATAAAAAAGGGGGGGGCAATACCAAGTATTTGGCAAAGATGTGGAGAAACTGGGGCCTTCATAGGTTGCTGGTGAGAATCTAAAATGGTACAGCCACTTTAGAAAGCAGTTTAGCAACTTCTTAAAAAGTCTAACTTGGTATAGGACCTAGCAGTTCTCCTAGGCATCTAGCCAGAAGAAATGGAAGTATAGGTCCACACAAAAACCTAAGAAACATATCTGCCAAATAGAATGTATGGTTCTTATTTGGATCCTAATTTGATCAAATCAACTTGACAAAAGCATTTGTGAGAGAATTGGGGAAAATTAAATATAGTGATATCAGATATTAAGGAATTAAAGCCCTTATTTATTAAAAATATGTTCTGAAATATTTACAGGTGAAATATGTCTGGGATTTGCTTTAAAATACTGGAACGAAAAAAGGAGAGAAATGGGTGAAATAGAAATAGAATATTGATAAATGTAGAAGCATAATGATGGTACATGTGCTTTCTCTGATATTCATTCTTGTGTATATTTGAAATTTTTCATAAATTAAAAAAATTAAACTGAGGCCTTGACCACTGTAAAAAGAGCCTCTAAGAAATTCATAAAGTAGGAAGTAATGTTACATAACTTGTTTCAGCCCAGCACTGGTCCATCCTCTGTATTTCTTGCAAAAATTCAGTTATTACATTACTGCTGTGCAAGAGGTTATCTTGAGCAGAGATTTCAGTGAAAGAGCAGAGACAGAGCTTTCAGTCTTCATGTCTCCCCTCTTGCTAGCAGGTAGTAGTTTTCTGATGTTCCTGAATTTGCAAAGTGCATTTATCAGCACATATGCAGTTTGCTTTTAGTAGCTATTAATATTTCCGAATGTGAATAAAGCACCATCTTCCCCTCATGCAAATTCTCATACACATCACAGCCTTTTTTATCCTTTATAAAGGCCACTGGTTTTCTTCCTCAAACGTGAAAGGTTCCAGGATTGATAGCTGCTTTTATTGGGGGTATGGAAATTTTACAGTTCTTAAGTATATACATGTATTTAATGAAAATCGTGTATGATATAGTAGGAATGTGTTATTATTTGTTTATTTATTATTTTCTCCTTTTTCCATTTTCAGTACATGTACTAGCCTTAGCAAGTTCTGTTCCAAACTCAGGCACCTTGACTTGGCTTCCTGTACATCAATAACAAACATGTCTCTAAAAGCTCTGAGGTAAATTTCTTAAGATAAGATTGTCCAACAATCAGAACAAAAACTTATTTAAAAAAATAATAAACTTGAAATTGAAGGAAACTGTGTTTTATGGATATGTACAACAGTTCAGAATAGATCTTTTACCACTTGCCCAAATTATAGGACAGGTGAAATGACTAGAGGTAAGTAGGGCTTATTTATACATGAATGATTAGTTTTTATGGAGGCTTCCTCCCTTCTTCCCCAAAAATGACACAGAATGTCACTTAGTGATTAAAGCAGTGCTCTGGAGTTAGGTCATTAGGTACCTTGAACAAATGTAGTCCTTGTGAGTTTTTCCTTGTCATTTCAGGTTTGTTACTAGGATTAAACTGTATTATCATTATTTGATAACATTAAGCCAAACCATATAAAGTTGTCAATATTCCAGCAGCTTTTGTCTTATAAAAATGACAGTTTCATGTGTTTTAACTTAATGTATATAAATTGCTTAAGCACTTAATAAGTTATCATTGTTTTAATGGTATTGTATTTTTTAAAAAATACATTACAGAAAATGTATCTTAAAAGGAAGGTGAGATGTCCATTCTCTTTGTAACTTTATTTTTTATCAGCCTTTTATGGTCCTATATATTGGTTACATTTATGAATAATAAGAATTAATCTACTAAAAGATTTAGTTAAGTAGAGTATAAGTAATCTAAAAATGTGGCTCCTAGACCTTCCTTATGAATATATTAAGCACATATGTATCTAAGGCTGTTTGCTGTGTAGAATAATAGCATAAAATAATAACATTTAGAGTTAACAAAATATTAACATAATTGATCTCATTTATTTGAAAACCTTGTGAGGTAGATATGGATAGTGTCTACTTTACAGACAGAAAATCTAAAACTTTTTTGAATACCAGGTAATGTGATTCAAACGTGGCAAGTAACTGAATAAGATATTGTTGCTGCCCTTAAGTTTCTCAGAGTCTAGTGGGAGAAAAAAAAAACACTAAACATGTCATCATGTGACAGTGTGGTAATAGAATCAGTACAGTGCTGTGAGAGAAGTACGGTCAGCAGTTTGGGGAGAACATAGACGTGCCTGTGTCTAATCTTGGTTAAAAGAGATTCAGGCAGGCTTCCTGAAGTGACTGGCTTGAAGTCACACTCTTAATGTTGAAGAATGGGCTTGAACCAAGATCCCCTGGCTTTATTTTATAAAACAGTTAAATCAATATTTTCTAAAAAATGTCATAGAGCTTGGGATTCTTCCATAGATCATATATGAAATCAAAGTTCCAAGATAAAGCTAGTATTTTATAGAAGCCAGAGATCAAATGCAATATATTTTAAATTCAGCCTATGGAAATAGTACTCTAGATACTTCCCAGATAAGGAATATTTATAGATCCACTGTAATTTTTAAAGTAAAAGTTTAAATGTCCTCATTAGTACTTTGATAAGTAATAGAATTATTTGATGGAGAATCTGAGTTTGACTCTAAACTTTATTAACTACTTGCTCAACTTGAACAAGTCACTTAATTTTTGTTTTCTATCTAGGGAACTTATAAATGTGTGATAAGTACAAAAAGAATATAACTTGAAAAGTATAAACTTCCATTAAAATCTAATATATCTGGAAATAATACTGTGCTTGATGTTTGTTAGCTAAGCTGGATTTGAGCTAGCCCTCCTAGTGATAGAGTTCCACACGAACACCACAGACATCGATAAACCCACTTTTGCGATTATGAGATTGCCGGTGTTCTAAATCTGTGTTAAGTAAATATGTATATTCTTGGAAGATCATGGGGCTTTATCCATTTCCCAACTAAAGGGCCAATAAAATGAGACTTTGGTTCCTTTGGAATTGGATTTAGTCATATGTTTGTTTCATTTTGTTTTAACCAAGTGAGGGATGTCCACTGTTGGAGCAATTGAACATTTCCTGGTGTGATCAAGTAACCAAGGATGGCATCCAAGCACTAGTGAGAGGCTGTGGGGGTCTCAAAGCCTTATTCTTAAAAGGCTGCACACAGGTAATACTCTATGTAGTGCTTGTGAATGATAGAGAAACTTAAAGAATATGTAATTGTTTTGTGTTACTGACCAAAGACATATTTACCAAAAATTACCGTTTTCCTTAGAGTAAAAAAAAAGAGAAGAGAAGAAGGAACATCTGACCAAAGATAAATTTTTGTTTTGAGGGGAGGCAGACTGGGGAGACAAAAATCATACTGAGCAAGCACCATAGGCAGGAAGGATTTCATGCAATTTAATCTGAAAACTTGCATATTGTTACTGCCTGAGACCTTGAACTAAATAGGCAAGGAAGACCATCTTGACAATTTTCACTAGTTTTTCAACCACCAGAAGCTTTTCTTAAATGTACCAAGTATACAGCAACCTACATTTTATAGTGTTGATGCTTATTTCCTGCCAGTCACATTACAAATTCAACATATTTTGTCATTACTGGAAGGCATTGGCATGGGAATAATCAAGAGTGGGTTTAGAAATGACTGATTCTCATTACCTTATTTTTTTAATGATTACTCAAACCATTCCTTGAATTCCATTTAAAATGACCTCATTTTTTCACCACGATGGGAGATGTTCCATTGTTTGAAACAGAGCTTTGGAAGTATGACTACCTTCAAACAACAGCTTGCGCTTCTGGTTATTTACGGAATCCTGAAAAATATTGATTGGAATGCATCATTACAATCAATTACTTGCCATCTGTTCTCAGCACTGTACTCATAGCACTCATCTTTCAGCAGCAGATAAACTGTGGATTCCTTTCTTAGCTCCTGCTCCCAAAAATACAAGGACTGTAGAAATATGAAAATTCTTTTAGGTTCATAAATGCTCAGCAAAATGCTGTAAAGCATATTTATCAGAAGAAAAACCCACAAACATTAGGCAATGTTTATTTTTTTCTTGATTTCATGATAAGAATTCGATATGGTAAGAACTGATAAAAAATAAAATGTACTGATTATATAAATTACATCTTTATGTGCCCATCGTTCATTGTTCCTTTGAACAGTGGAACTTGGTTGGCTATATTTAAAATATATTGATGAATGTGTACTCCCTTAAACTTTTTATCCTTTGAATTATTTTTTCTCTCTTTTTAATCTTTCTAGCTAGAAGATGAAGCTCTCAAGTACATAGGTGCACACTGTCCTGAGCTGGTGACTTTGAACTTGCAGACCTGCTTGGTAAGCAGTCCTTCCTACAGCTCTTCTGTATTACTAATTGACTTCTGTGTTATTACTGTAATAGTTTCAGTCATCAAGGCCAGTAGTTTTTCCACTTTAACCCAGGGGACACAGTAGTCAGATGATTCTTTACTTGCTTAACGATAGTCCAGGCCTTTTTAAAAATACATATTTTTAATATGTTTTTATTGATTTTAGAGAGAGACATAGAAATATCGATGCAATATATTGATTGATTGCCCCCTATTGGGGATCGAACTTTCAGCCTGGGCATGTGCCCTGACTGGGAAAGTGTTCCAGTAACCTCTCGGTTCATGGGTCAACACTCTACCACTGAGCTACATTGGCTGGGCTCTCCCAGGGGCTTTGACATGGATAAATGGGTAGTCTATTCAGAATTCCAAATTCTAAATAGGCTAACCTATAACTTCCTCCTTTTCTTTTCTATATAAGACTACTCTACTATATAGAATTAAATCATACACAAGCTTCAGTATTTAAAATATTTTTGAGAAGTTCATCGCAGTCCCATTGATTAAGATCTATCAGTAAGTCAGAACTATTGGGAACCACTGATCTAAACAGATGGCAAGCAAAATGTGCCCTTTAAATTATACTCGAATAGTATTTGCAGTTCACATATGTTTCTTTAGACTATCAACTTTTTTGTTTCTATCCCAAAATCCTCAATTTTATTTGAAGAATTTGCTTGAAACTTCAGTATCCTGGAACATTGGCAATGCATCTTTAGCTTTTCTCTCTTGCCTTGGAAAGTACATATGTGTGTTGCTTTGGAATGAGAGCCTCTCGTAGCAATGAAAAAAGTTGATGAGGGTTTTCCTTGTTTTTACTAGGCCTTTTGATTATTATACTCTCCCCTTGTTTAATCACCTAAAACTTGAGAGCATAGTGGCTGCTTAGTTTAAAGATGATATTTTAGTTTAAAACTGCCACATTTTGTACAATTTCAGCAACTTGCCCTTCAGCCCTTAGGGGTGGTGCTTCTGCTTAGGAGGTTTCTGGGGACTGAGTTAAAGAAATGACATTCTTTTCCATTCTGACCACCCCTTCCTTTTAATTCGATTGCCATAGCTGCTCGTTACCAGATTTGCCTAATTTTATTCATGAAACAGACCTGAGAGAAAGAGCTTATATAACCATGGTAAACATGAAACCATCATCTTAAAATGATAGGAAAAAACTGTTCTTGAGCATCTTCAGATTTTTATATGCATATACACGCACACATTCTGTATATATTTGTATATATATGTGTGTGTTGCATACACATTTGTACATACACATATACCATACCTACCATTTACCATTGTAGTTTCATTTCCTTTACCCTTCCAGCAGGCAAAAAACACAGTTGAGAAGCATAAAGAACCAGTTCTATCATGTATTTATTTTACTGTTTCCCTTCCGCCAGATATTAGGACATGAGTTACTCCTTCATCATTCCTTCCATGTGATGCTTAATATTCATGAGACTTCATTTTCCTGCCCAAATTGAAGTGACAAAAGTACATTCTTGATCCATTCTCTTTTTCTTGACTAATTTAAAAACAGAATGTTAGTAAATTTTACTTTCTAAAATTCAAAGTAATGGTAATATGACTTACTTTTCTCCTCTTCTTCCTCTGTAATTTCTTAAAGACTTTAAGACATTAAAAATGATTTATAAACTAATGTCACCTCAATAAATTCAATTAAAAAATATATTAAAAAGGCTTGGCCAGCATGGCTCAGTGGTTGAGCATGGACCTATGAACTAAGAACCACTCTGGCTGGGCATGATTTTTTTTTAAATAATTCTTTTTTGTTAAGTATTACATATGTCCCCTTTTCTCCAGCCCGCCTCCGCCCCCTGCCCCAGGCCCTCATTGCCTGTGTCCTCATTATCTGTGTCCATGGGCCGTGCATATACAAGGTCCTTGGGTGATTACCTCCCACCCACCTACCCTCCCCCACATTCCCTTGGAGATTCCAAACTCTGTTCCATGCTTCCATGTAACATCTCTGTTCTTTTTTTTCTTCTTAATATATTTTTGTTGATTTCAGAGAGAGAGAGGGAGAGGCAGAGAGGGACAGAAACATCAATGATGAGAGAGAGTCATCCATTGGCTGCCTCCTATACTCCCCTTACCAGGGACTGAGCCTACGACCCCGGCATGTACCTGACGGGAATCAACCCACAACCTCCTGGGTCAGAGGTCAACTCTCAACCACTGAGCAACACTGGCCGGACACATCTTTGTTCTTTTTAATTTTAAAATAATTTGAAACCTACAAAATTATATTTGAGCTAGACACAACTGTTTCCATAAATTAGAATATTCTTTATTAGAAAACAAAAATACAGAAATAAATGAATCTGTGGTTGATATGAGACTGCAGTTGTCATCCACGGGTGGTTTTCTTTTTTAAAATAAGTTTTTAGTAATTTACTATCAATTTTGAACTTGTTAGTATGTTTAAACTATTAAAATACTGCCATTTTTATTGGTTTTCTAGGTTTTAAAACCATTTAATTGAATGTACACCATGACACTCCCCATGCTGTTCCCAACTGATTAGATTAAAAGAATCCCTTTATAGCCTCTTGCCCCCCGAAATGAGCACAGATTCTCTTGCAAACTAAATCAAAAGAAACTGGAAGGAAAAAAACAAATTGTGTTCCTTTTCCTTTAGGTCTACCTGATTAATATTAAATCCTTTATTTCTTTTTGGTACTTCTTTTCACAGGTGACATTTTTTCCTTTTCTGCAAAGTTACTAATATCTATGGGGATTTTTTGCTCTTTTTTTTTTTTTTTTTTTTAGCAAATCACAGATGAAGGTCTCATTACTATATGTAGAGGGTGCCATAAGTTACAGTCCCTCTGTGCCTCCGGCTGCTCCAACATCACGGATGCCATCCTGAATGCTCTGGGTCAGAACTGCCCACGGCTTAGGTAAAATTTCTTTTCTTTTTTAAAATGCATTGGGTTTTAGAAAAAAAAAACCCACAGATTTGTGTTCCACTTATTTATGCATTTATTGATTGATTCTTTTTCATTTTTATTTTTTTATCCTCATCCAAGGATATGTTTATTGATTTTAGAGAGGAAGAGAGAGAGAAACATCGATGTGAGAAAGAAACATCGATTGGTTACCTCCTATACCAGGGGTGGGCAAACTTTTTGACTCGAGAGCCAGAACGGGTTCTTAAACTGGACCGGAGGGCCGGAACAAAAGCATGGATGGAGTGCTTGTGTGAACTAATATAAATTCAAAGTAAACATCATTACATAAAAGGGTACGGTCTTTTTATTTTTTAGTTTTATTCATTTCAAGCAGGCCGTAGTTTGCCCACGGCTGTCCTATACACACAAAACTGGGGATGAAACCCGCAATCTAGGTGTCTACCCTGACCAGGAATCCATCCTGCAAACTTTTGGTATACGGGACGGCGCTCCAACCAAGTGAGCCACCCAGACAGGGCCATTGGTTCATTCTTGTATGTGCCCTGACTGGGGATCAAACCTGAAACCTTGGCATAGCGGGATGGCACCTTAACCAATTGAGCTCCCCAGCCAGGGCAGCATTTCTTGTTTAGCTTAAAAATATTGGGAAGAGAACAGAGGTCTCCTTCACTTGGAACCTTGAAATTTTTAAGGTAGACACTACAAGGCCACTACCCTTTTAGATGCCCTCTGTCTTGCTTTATACTTTATTGGATTTACATGTAATTGGCCTGAACCAGCGGATAATAGTCTCCATTTTTTTACTTCTTGCTAGCCATACTAGAAAAAAAATCACTTCGTTTTATTACTTGAGAAAATAAATAAAGAGATATTTTCTCTTACTAATGCTTTCATATGTAAGATGGTCCCCTACTTACAATGGTTCAACTTATGATTCTTTTTTTTTTAATATATTTTTATTGATTTTTTACAGAGAGGAAGGGAGAGGTATAGACAGTTAGAAACATCAATGAGAGAGAAACATTGATCAGCTGCCTCCTGCACACCCGCCACCAGGGATGTGCCCACAACCAAGGTACATGCCCTTGACCAGAATCGAACCCAGGACCCTTCAGTCCGCAGGCCGATGCTCTATCCACTGAGCCAAACCAGCCAGGGCCAACTTATGATTTTTTGACTTTATGATGGTGGAAGGTGATACACATAATAAATAAATTACATGAGATAGTCAACATTTTATTATAAAACAAGCTTGTGTTAGATGATTTTGCCCAACTAGAGGCTAATGTAAGTGTTCTGAGCACATGTAATGTAGGCTTGGCTAAAATTACGATGTTTGGGAGGTTAGGGGTATTAAATGCACTTTTGACTTAACAGTATTTTCTACTTTTGAGGGGTTTGTCTGGACATAACGCCATCACAAGACAAGGAGTATCTGTAATTCCTTTCTGAAGAAAGTTTTTGATGGCCTGTCCTGTGGTCATTTATGTTGTAATAATGATGCTAGGTACATAGCAGAAAGTATTTAAAAAGAAAAAACAGTCCTATAGGAGAACCTCCTTTATGCTTATTAATGGTAATTTAGAGCAAGCCTTATCTCTTCATTGCTCCACCTCTCTGTCTAAATAGAGGATTGGCTAAATATTATTGTATTTATATATTAGACATATTAGCCATTGTTGTAAGTGATTCACAAATATTAATTTACTTAATCATCAAACACCATATAAGCCCTGTTATTATCTCCATATTATAGATGAAGAAAACTGAAGCCCAGAGAGGTCAAGTAACCTGTTCAAGGTCTCACAGCTAGAGTAAGTGCAGGAGCAAGGATTCAAACCCAGGCAGTCTGGCTCCAGAAACCACTTGTTTGACGTAGAATAATCATTTATTAAACTTTTTTGTAATCATCTGGCCATGGGCCTGACTGTAATTAGTGAAAGAAAATCTGGCTACAGTATCAAAATTCCTTAATAGATCATAGACTTGTTTGTCAAAATAAGTAATATCAGAAGCCTAGAGTAGAATTCTATTCAGGAACTAAGTAGGTAGCCAAACTCCTGTCTAAAAATATTACCCCCCTAGAGGCCTGGTGCATGAAATTCATGCACTGGGGAGAAAGGAGGGGGATCCCTCAGCCCAGCCTGTGCCCTCTCGTAGTCCAGGACTCCTCGAGGGATGTCCGACTGCCAGCTTAGGCCCGGGATCCCTCTTGCAGTTTGTGACCCCTTGCTCCTTACCACCACCCTGCTCACTGCTCCTTACTACATTTGCTGCTCCTTAGGACTGCCATGAGGTGGGAGAGGCTTCCGCCACTGCCACTGCACTCGCCAGCCTTGAGCCTGGCTTCTGGCTGAGTGGTGCTCCCCCTATGGGAGTGCACTGCACCCGGGGCAGCTCCTGCGTGCCCCCTGGTGATCAGTGCACATCATAGCGACCTGTCATTCCGCCATTTGATTGATTTGTATATAAGGGTTTTATTATATAGAATTCCCTTTTTTAAAAAAAATATTTTTTTTATTGATTTTAGAGAGGGAGAGAGAGGGAGAGCGAGATAGAAACATCAATGATGAGAGAGAATCATTGATCAGCTGCCTCCTGCACGCCCCTCACTGGGGTTCGAGCCCACAACCCGGGCATGTGCCTTTGACCGGAATTGAACCTGGGACCCTTCAGTCCACAGGCTGATGCTCTATCCACTGAGCCAGATCAGCTGGGGCTTACCTGGTCCCTTTTTGTTTTAAAGAGAGGGGCGTTCACCTTCCTCCTCTTTCGTGTTTTATCTTATTGTTAGAACAGAAAGACTCTCAGATGTGATACTTCAATCAGTAAATGTTTTTCCATTAGACACAGCATTCACTTCTCTTTTTTTATCTTTTTTATTTTTGTTTTTTTATATTTTTATTGATTTCAGAAAGGAAGATGAGAGGGAATCATTGATCGGCTGCCTCCTGTACATCTCCTATTGGAGATCGAGTCGCAACTGGGCATATGCCCTGACCTGGAAGCGAACCTTGACCTCCTGCTTTATAGGTCGACGCTCAGTCACATAGCCACACTGGCCAAGCTAATTTATCTTTATTGTTGAAAGTATTACATATTGCCCCCTTTTCCCCCCCATTGATTCCCTCCACCCTGCCTCCACCCCCTCTAGAGATTGTCAGTTGATATGATTTCTTATACTTCTGTAAGTAATTTGTAAGCAAGCATAAATATTCTAAGGTGCCATAGTGCAGATGCCACCAAACTTTTCACAGAAAAGCTATGTTTGACTCCTCAGTCCTGTGGTTGGTATTTAGGTTGTTGTGTAGCAGTTCCTGAATAGGTCAGTGGCTGCCAGCTCAGCTCCCCTCTCCACTGGGCCTCCCTGGGAACATGTGGGAGGAGCCAGGAAACATAAGGTTATTTTTTCATAAGTATGGAATTTCATGTTTGGGATAGGCCTATAATTAACCAGTCCTTTTATAACATTTTAAAAATCTATCTAAATCTGAGTGGGCCTACATGTAAAATAGGAAAAGAGAGTCATTTTCTTTAGCAACAGATTAATAGAGTACCCTGTCCATTTCCCTTGTTTTCTAGAAGCAGGCTGTCCTCTGGGTGCAAGCAGTGTGCCATCAAAAGCCTTTTCAGATGATTTATTTTATTATTATTATTATTATTATTATTATTATTTTGCTTGTTCGTTGCTTTTCTTCTTACATATATCTCAATTTGCTCATTCTTTAGAGAATGAGTATTGAAAAACCTGTATGATTGAGCAGTATGGTGACATTCCAACTTTCAGACTTGCTGTATATAAACCTGGACTCTCCACTCTAAAATGCTTCATTTCCCAAACCAGTGATTTCTCACTTCAGCACTCTATTGTCTGTGGAGAAGTCTTTTAAATGCATTTTGGCATTAACTACAAGCTTCTCTTACATTCTTCTGATTGCATAAGTCTGCAGTGTTGTATTTACAGGACCACTTTATGATGACTTCATGAATAGGATTAGCAAGATCTCTATACAGACTTGCTTAGCTATTAATGTCATTATATTATGTAGTCCTTAGGGACTAGGAGGTTGTTTTCTTAAATTCTTGCTGTTTTAATAAACGTGGTTTTCAGGGACCAAGGACTTTACTTTCACTTTGGTTTTTTTAACAGAATATTAGAAGTGGCAAGGTGTTCTCAATTAACAGATGTAGGCTTTACCACTCTGGCCAGGGTGAGTATTTTCTCCAAGTTCTATGTAAGTTTTGTTTGGGATTTTTATTTCAGAAGAATGAGCAAGGATGGAGATGTGAAATGGCAGCAGAACTAAGGGTGTGTGGGGTGTGGGGGAACTTCCCTGTGGCTGATGTTCCAGGGCGTTCTCATGCCACAGCTACTAGCTTGTATAATTATAGTATTTAAAATTATAACTGTCTTTGACCAATGTATGGAACAAGGGGAAGGACCTTTGCTTTCAGGCAGATTGATATTGAACACCACTTCGTTTTCTGGCCTTAAAGTTTCCCCATATTTTAAATATTTGTATTGTAATGTTTGGTTTTGTGTTTTATAGAATTGCCATGAGCTTGAAAAGATGGACCTGGAAGAGTGTGTTCAAGTAAGATTGTGGATTTTTACTCAGAAGTACAATATAATAGAAACTTATGTAACATGCACACGAGAACATTGGCTTCCCTCCCCTGGTGTAACGCAGTGCCTGGCAGCACTGGTGGCTCTCCACTGCTGACTCCCCAGGCACACCTAGCAGAGGACTCATGGTATCTGTGTTCAGGTGAAAATGTATGTCATCAGTAAGGTTGCCATTGGAAAGGAAGAAAGCCCATTCAAGCCATAAGATATTTCCTTAGACCTACAGGGTTTTGATATTAGTAAATAATTAAAGCCCCATGACACTGATATATAGCCCTGCCCTTTTTAGCTTAACTTGACGCTGGACCCCTTAGCCCTAGAGACCTGAGTCTGTATGGAGCCCTGTCCTTAAGGCAGGCAACCAGATACTTCCTTAATAGCAATATCTTTTCTTACCAATTTTGAGAGCTTTGAGATTAGTTGATTGAGCAGAAACTTTGATGGGAGACTCCTAAAAAGAAGATAGAATAATGAATTTTATTAATGGTCAAAATAAAGAAGATACTTGGGTCTATTGAGGTCAATTTTTTCTAAATTACTTGTTACCCGATACTACTTAGCAGCTATTACTTCTTAAACTGAAATTTGTTTCTGTCCGCTTATCTCTTATACATGTTTAGTGTCCTTTCCAATATTAGTCCTTCTGAGTGATGTGCACACACCTGTCTGCTCCAGCTCCCCACCCCTCTGACATTATATATTAGAATAATATAATACCTCAGATTTGGAAGAATTTGAAAAGAAGCACTGATTTACTTTTTGTCCTAAGATAATTATAAAAGACTGTTTTTCCTTTTAGGAGTTTTTCCTTAATGTTAGTAGGTAACCCAGATTCCAGCAGCCCCTTTGTGCCACCATTGGGAAGATAACTGGCACCCAAAAAGATAACATTAATCTTTTTTCATGGAGCAGTATCTTCCTTGTTGTTTTCTGTGATGGTTTTAAGGAGGTAGAACAAAGTATAGTGGGTAGAAGTTATAAGGAGACAGATTTTCATTCATTTAAAAAAACAAAACAGTTTTCAACCTGCTCAAAGTTTTCAGTCTGCTCAAAGATGAAGACTAGAGAATGCTAGATATGTTCAAACCTAGTTTCTTAAAGAACAATTCAGGTATCCATTGGGATATCAACCTCAAGATTTTGTTATTTGAGAATTGATATCAGGATATCAGTCTAGATTACAAGTATAGTCAAGAGTGAGGTACGGGCCATGAGTTTTTTTTCTTGGAATTATACCTAAAATAAGCTTATGTGTTTCTTTCAGATAACAGATAGCACCTTAATCCAACTTTCTATACACTGTCCTCGACTTCAAGTATTGGTGAGTGTGACTCTGGAAATTTATGTGTTTACCAGATTTAAATACTGATTTTAGAGAGAGAGGAAGGGGAGGAGAGACAAAGGTAGATTGATTGCTTCCTGTCACACTCCGTCTGGGGACTGAACCTGGAAACAGCATGTGCCCTGACGAGGAATCGAACTGGCCACTTTTCAGTGCATGGGATGACGCTCAACCAACTGAGCCACACCAGCCAGGGCTATTTATTATATTTAGATTTAATCAAAAAGCCCAGCTTTTACTTTCCTCTTGGTTACTGGCTACCATTTTGGGAAAGCATATTTCTCCAAATTGTCAACTTACAGAGGACCAAGAGAGGAATTAAGAAATGTTTAATGTTTTCTTTGTCAATACTTGGAAATTGAAAACTGATGTGGAAAGTATGAGTTCTCCTTCCCACTTGAACTCCAACCTGAATGGTGTTAAAATTTCCAGAGGTCCTGGGAGTTGATGGCCAGAAATACAGTTTGCTTCACCTTCAGACCAAAACAGAAGCAATCAAGGCTTTTACTAGGGAGAATTTTCTGTTACTGTTCCTTGTAACACTATAGGAAAGAAAGTATTCTGGTTAACCATTCTTTTTTTAAAATATATTTTTTTTTGTTACTGATTTCAGAGAGGAACAGAGAGGGAGAGAAAGATTGAAATATCACTGATGAGAGAGAATCACTGATCAGCTATCTCCTGCACACCCCACACTGGGGATTTGAGCCCGTAACCCAGGCATGTGCCCCAATTGGGAATCGAACTGTGACCTCCTGGTTCATAGGTCAACGCTTCACCACTGAGTCACACCAGCCGGGCATGGTTAATCAATCTGTATCTAGGTTCATTTTTGGTTTATTTGGTGGCACCTTGCTATCCAAATTGGGTCAAGGGTTCTGAGTTTCACATGAAGTGACCAGGAACTAAGGAAAATTGATACAGTCAAGAGATTTATATGAAGAGATAACTATATCTGACAGCTATCAGAATCAAGTTCATTTAATTAACTTGGCCTCCCCCTGTACCAGGTAATCAATATGTAGTCCAAATTCTAGGAATTTTTGTTCAGGAAAAGCTTGAGCCCCACTTATCCCTGTAAAGAAGAAAAGTGTTCATTTGTGTGTATGGGGGGTGGGGGCGCAAATAGGTAGTATTTTATTTTGTTAATGAACTATTTCATAGTCATTACATAAATTCACAAAGTATATTTAGAATCAGAAAGAGAAATGTCTATCATTGATTGTCAAAAGCAGAACCCCAGCAACTCTAATTTGCTTTCTTCATTTACCACATGGATCTAGTGATGGTTCCTTATGCATCAACATCAAACTAGAAAGGTCTCTCTGATGGTACACAGGCCTCTTGCTGGAAGAATGCCATAAGATATGTCAGTACCCTTCCTTGCTCTCTTTGGCTGCAGAGTCTGTCTCACTGTGAGCTGATCACAGACGATGGAATTCGTCACCTGGGGAATGGGGCCTGTGCTCATGACCAGCTGGAGGTGATTGAACTGGACAACTGCCCACTAATCACAGACGCATCCCTGGAGCACTTGAAGAGCTGTCACAGCCTTGAGCGGATAGAACTCTATGACTGCCAGCAAATCTCACGGGCTGGAATCAAGAGACTCAGGGTAAAGATGGCTGCATCACCCTCCAGCTCTAGTGTTCTCAGCACCCTTTGTTTTTCTTTTTTTTAGATTTAGATTCCTTTGATTTTTAAATTTACTTAGACATTTAGCAAAGATGGGAGAAATGGAAAGCAAACGTACAGGAAGATAGTTTCAGGTGGAAATGTAGTAGGAAAATACCCACTGAGGGAAGAAAAGTAGGTCTCCTCCCAGCAGTTATTCCAGCAATGTCCAGAGTTTAATAGCATGCCTGGAGTCAGACGCAGATGCCACATTTTGGTTCTAAAGGAAAGAAAGGAATAACAAAAAATATTTAATTAAATAGGATTTAAATTTTTAATTTATATTTTCTTTCATATCAACCCCTCTTGCTGGGATTTTTATTTATTTCAAAATATGCTCGTATTGATTTTTAGAGAGAGGGGAAGGGAGAGGAAAAGATCGATGAGAGAGAAACATCATTGATCGGCTGCCTCCTATACTCCCCCACTGGGGATCTAGCCCTCAACCCGGCATGTGTCCCAACCGGCAATTGAACCCCAGTGACCTTTTTGGTTTATGGGTCCGTGCTCAACTACTGAACCACACTGGCCAGGTGGGATTTTTTTTTTAAGACAACAAATGGATCAAGTAATTTTTTCCCTTTTTCTGTTTGCACCCCTCCCCCCACCCCTTCCCTGTAGTAGAGAGACCCATGCATAGCCAAATGACTGGAAGACAGGTTGCCAGCAAGGAGGTTATAAAAGGCTGAACGGATCTATATATTAGATTATTCCGCTCAAAAGACATTTATTGGAACTTCTGCTTCACACCTGCTGTGGGAAAGGCACTGTGCTTGTTGTCCTTTATAGCCAACCTCCAAAAACTCCATGTCGACCATATGGCACCTGAGCACATACAGGACCAACCTCATCTTGATTTTCTCTTGGCCTCAGCTCCTCCTCTCCCTTCAGCCCTAGAGGACTGAGAGCATAGCTGCAGTGGGGAATCCTTGCAGCCGTATTTCTTCTACACTAAAGAGGAGAGCCACAGGTCATCAGAAGAAAGACTGTCCACAGTGACTTGGGGAAAAAATCTTAAGCTTATTTCAAATATGGCAATATAGTTTATTTCAACTATGAGAATCAAACTAGGAATCCCTTTGGGAACAGGTTAAGAAATGAGTATGAAGTTTTTCCCCACTTGTATTATTATGGAAGCAGGGACCAAAGTTATGTGAGCTGATTTAGTCATTTAGAGTAATGTGGGATGGTACAGAGTAGAACCCAGGCCTCCAACATCTGGCTGCTGGTGGTCGGCCTCTGCCCTGCTTTCATGGCCACTCAGTGTTTGTTCTGAGAAGCAACATTGCTCTTTCTGTTTAAGCCCTCTCTCTTAGTAATGTTTCTGTCTTGTTTCAGACCCATTTACCCAATATTAAAGTCCACGCCTACTTCGCACCTGTCACTCCACCCCCATCAGTCGGGGGCAGCAGACAGCGCTTCTGCAGATGCTGCATCATCCTATGACAGTGGAGGTGGCAGCCGTGGCGAACTGAGTATTTAATGACACTTCTAGAGTTACCGCGGAGTCTCCAGTGGAAGCGACCCAGTGTTCTGGGCAAGGGTTACAACGTGAGGCAGTGTCCAGATTCCCAGAGCCACACGTACATATACATACCCATCCGCTCTAGCTCTGTGACGGGGGTCTGAAGACTGTGCTGGCTTTATCAAGTGGATTGATAAAACTTAGCCATTCCTGTTGGACGTTCCCAGAAGAAAACCATAGGCCAGGTAGGGGGAAGGGGTTGTTCCAGCAAACCCAGTGTTACTGCTACTACGGTTTCTTTATTTTATTAAGGGGTTTATTTGGTGATATTGGAACAGCAACTGCAGTCCTCCAGGGTCAAGGAAAGCATAGAGAAAAACAATATACGTTGTATCCAGGGACCAGAAAGAAAATTTCTTTGCATCCTATAAATGGTAGCCATCCATTGTGAGATGACTACACAGCTTCTGTGCTTCCTCGTTCCCATGCCAACATGCAGAGCATGCTCACAAAGAAGGCTCCTCCATTCCGCCTCCTGTTTAGTATTTGGCCCAGTGGTTTCCTATATGGTCACATTGAAATTACTGTGGTCCAAATGTGATTACTTATTCACTCAAATTGTCACTGTCTGTAGCACACTTGTGCACCTGTTGTCCTTTGTTGCTCCCTCCTGCATTCTTGCCCAGTCTGTCACCTGTTCATAGTCTGCTTACTCACACTCAATTGTTACTCTCTTGCTGTTGTGTTTACAGTTGGCATTTTGGATGATTAGTTCGGGTTACCAAACATTTTTAAAAGAGACATTATCAATAAATATTTTTTTAATTCTAAATTTTACCATTAGGGGCCCCTGCCTGAATCTTTGCCAGTCTGAAGGGAAACAGTTATAAAAGCAAGAAAAGTTATGAGAAGAAATTAAGCTAAAACTATTTTGATAATAGTAAACTTTGCTTTTTGGTTTCTGTTATATCTTGTGATATGTGAAAATATGCATGATATGCCCAATACTCCATTTTTCCTTCCATCAGGCTCTGCTAATTTAATGAGGTGAACAAAACACATTAATTAGTAAAGAGTGGGATGCCAAATCCCAAAACTGAGCCTGGACACCCCCCCACCCACACTCAGGCACGTTGTATGTTCACTGAAATCTAGGTGTGATCAGTGACATCTCCGATTTGTGTCTTTGGGGTTGTTTTATTTTAGCAGAAATGCTACTAGAGGCACTGTGCCATCTAGCCAATCAGTGTCTCTCCCCCACCCCTATTTCAGCCTGCCAGGGACCCTGTGAAAGCTGGTCAACTGTATGAGAGTGTTGATGGTATCATTTAATATCGGAGCCTCAAAGGACTGGGACCTGTCAGCCATATCTCCTGTTCTCCAGACTTCCCATGAATGAAACACAAGAGTAGCCAGGTCAAGGAACTGGGGCAGCAGAAAGAGAACATTGAGAGGAAGAAGAAGTAGGGGTCTCAGTGCCTCTGCCCAGCCTGGTCATCAGAGTTGAGGGCTGGGAGGGTATTCAGTGCCCATGACTCAAAGATGCTTCCCCCCCCACACACACACACACACAAAATCCTGCAGAGTGAGTTAAATGAGTTTCTGAAGTACTAGAAGTAGGTTTAAACCCCAAGGTTAAAAACCATGTGTGATTTTTTTAAATAGGATGACTTTTGTAAGAATTACGTGTGATTTATTCCTTCACATAAAGGATCCCATAAATGTGTACAACCCACCAATATTTAATATGTTACATTTATTTTAAATCCTATTTAATTATTCCCTTTTAAAAACTAAAATTATATTTTTTAATTCTCCCTTCCCCTTTTCAAATTACAGTGTAAGGAGTATACTTTTTAAAGTGAGACTCACTCTCCTGGCTGTACCCCACACTTATAAATATATACATGTGCACACACACTTCCAGATGTAGTTCATAATATTCATATCCCCAGGTCACTCATTCAAACAAAACTAAAAAGAAATATTTAGGGCCCATCTGCTCTAATCTATAATTTTTTTTATAATGCCTGAACAAATTGGCTATAAAACCCTGATTGATTAGTGAGTGTGGAATTGAATTGCCCAATAGGTGAGGCTTATATATATATAATTTGTTTAAAAGATCCTACTCACCAGTACATGAGTGTCTTGGAAATGCTGTTTCTCTCCTCAAAGAGTGTTCCCAGGTGCGGGTCCATGTGGACTTGCGCAGGCAGCCCCTGCCTGTCTGGGCTGAGAACAGAGTGGAGTGAGGGTAAAAGCCTGGAGTGTGCAGCAGCATGTGGTCAGGCAGGAGGCTGTCCCTTTCTCAAGAAAACTTCAGGCCCATCAAGCTTGGAATGAAACATTTTTTTTATACCAGTCTGCAACCACGCCAGCTGATGAAATGTACCAGGACTTTGAAAACCCAGAACATGGTAAGTTTTGGTCAGGTGGACAGGGTCCTGTCACCTGGACACAGTGCTGCCTGTTTCAACATCAGGAACACTTTTGAAAAGTCAGTAAGGTTTCACAGGTGTAACTCTTCCATAGGGAAAGCTTATTGTCTGGCTGCACAGCTCCTCCACAATATGCCTTCTGTAATGAAAAGGTGCAGCGCAAGAGAGGAGATTTGGGAGAAGGAAGAAGGTACCCTCAAAGGTATTGCCGTAAACCTGCCGATACCCAGGAGGAATTATTGCAGTGTCCTCTGGCGAAAGTTATTCAGCATCCAGATCATCTTTTTTCCAAGCAGCCTTTTCTCCCCTTACATTTCCCAGCATCATTTGCTACAACAGTACCTTTTATATCCTCTTCATTGGCCCCATCAGCTTTTTATTTATTTTTTTGATCCTCACCCAAGGATATTTTTTCCATTGCTTTTCAGAGAGAATGGAAGGAAGGGAGTAGGGAGAGAGAGATACACATAGATTGGTTGCCTTCCACACATGCCCCAACAGGTCTGGAGATCAAACCTGCAACCCAGGTACATACTGGGAATCAAACCCTCAACCTTTCCATGCATGGGTCAGCACTCTAACCACTGAACATACTGGCCAGGGCCCAGCTTTTTTTTTTTTTTTTTTTTAATTGACGCCTCCCATTTCCTCCTACATCCATCCTCACTGTCTGTTTAAAGCCTCCATCTACTCCCAGTGATGCTACTGATTCTGAAATGTCTCCAGTCTAGCGTTCACTTTGGGTCCTTATGATCGAGGCAAACCATCCTGGGCAGTCTTGAATCCGTGACTGTCAGTGGCTCAGGCCATTTTTCACCAGATGGTCTTTGAGGGTGGTCTTTGACATTTGCTTGCTAAATTAGAAATCAAACTTGGATATGAGCAGTAAAGGGGATCTGGCTTTATTTTTTTTTCCAATATTTGGAATATGAAAGCACATTATACTACTTCATGTAAAAAGTTTTCTCCTGTTCTGCTCTCTAGTGGATGTAAAAGTATTTCTTAAATGTTTTTGTGTGTATGTGTGTGTATTTCCACATTCATGAGTTAAGCTGATTCAGCAGACATATAAATCAGAAATTTCATATATTCCTTAGATCACACATTTTAAAGAGAAACCTGGTAAATGTTTTTATGATGCTTTATTTTGGGTTTTCCAAACTGAACAGTTCAGTGTAGCTATAATGCTACAGCAGTCAAGTGCTTATGTTCTAATTGCCTTGTAAAATGCATTGTTACTGGTTTAATAGCCCACTAATGCCACGGGGGCCACACAAAGTATGCCATGGAGCCTACCTTGGTTTGAAGTCATTAGGAAATGCGACAGTGTTATGGGAAGAAGAGGGTGGCTACCTGCCTGCCTGTATTGGCAGCATGTCCTTAGGCGACCCTGTTGTTTTGAAAAGGAGGAACACTTGGGGATCACGGTTGCAGACCCTTGGCCGATTAATATTTATTGTGCTGCAAATCACAGACTGTTCATGACAGTCACCACCGAGAGAGGAAAATAGTCTAGTCTGCCTTTTCCCTGCTTGTGTGCATACTTTAAGGTTAGGTTTCTATCCCTATTGTGCATCCTGGCTGACACTCTCTCCGTGGTATGCTTTGAGCTTCTGGAACATTCTATAAAACGATTGCCTTCTCTAGCTGCCCACCAGTTCTAGGATCTTTAACCACCTCAGACCAAAACAATGTGAATTAGCCAAGTTTTGTTTGAGAAGAGGTTAGGATGTGTGGTTGGTCTTTAAGCAGAGCCTGTCCGTCCCCTTACAATGATTATGATCTGGGACCAAAGAACCCTAAAGCAGCAGGAGGGTGAGGGGACATATGGAGTCTCAGCCTCTCCTCACCTTTATTTCCATCATAAATTTTAATTGTAAGATGGAAAGACACAAAAGACTCGGAAAGACCGTGTCAGTAGTGTATAATTAACCAGGTAATAAAGTTGGGCTGTATTTGCTATACCCAGGTCCCTGACTTACCATCTTGGTTCTCCAGCAAACACATGCTTCTCTAAGCTTGCCTTTTCACTTGGGACTTTCTTCCTGCCAGACGCTGCCGTTTGAGGCAAGTGAGTTTTCTGCATGAAGGGCTTCTGTACTTCCCTCCTCAGGCAAGTCTCCCTATTTTGTCCATTTTTATTCTCAGGCACATCAGTTGCACATTTCTGACGCCTTTGGTCCTTAGGAAAGTTAGTAAAAATCTCTCAGCTAAGTCTTTGGAGCCCAAGAGAGTTACGCTCAATTTTCAGTGGAGAAACATGTGTTGGACAAGCTCACATGGAGATGTTAAGAGAAATTCCATAGTGCACTTCTTCCATCCCGCTGCGTGTGATTTTTGAGTAAGCCCCTGGTAGGGTTCGATTCCCAGGTGTTGAGGATTAGTGCTTGCTCAGCCATGGTAGTTCACTGCCCTTTAGGAAAAAGAAGCATGAGCGACCAGAATTATATCAATTGACCCTGTGTATTTTCTCTATTTTTCAGTGTCTTGTTTTGAAGAATTGGGGTGGGGAAATGGTAGGTGAGATTCAAATTAAAGGAGAAAATCAGTTCTGGAACTGTGGGGTACTTTGCTTCAGGTACAAGCATCTGTCCTGAATATGTAGAAACAACTGCTTCACATGTGAGTAGATTTACTTTCCTCTCCATCTAATGACTCCAGGCCCTTTTTCCTTCTGCTTCCCACACACACCTAACCAGAGCCATCCCATGGGGATTGGCACCACTGAAAGAAACCCCAGGGCTTCCCAGCTGCTCTGGGCACGGTGTTCGCCAGGGCAAGAGCAGGTAGGCAATGCGAATCCCCACCCAGGAAGAAGTGGGAGGGAAGAGGTGTCCAGACACATACCTTTTCTCTCCTGCCATACTCCAGGAACCCCAGGGAATCTTTGAAGTGATGTCTTTTATATTAAAGTGGAAGAAGAAGTTTGCCCCACTAAATTTCGCTTGTCATTGTCTCTTACTACTGTTTTTTTATTCAGATCCGTACCACACTGCTGTTCACACACGTGTATGTGGTTCTTATCTTAGCCTAACTCTTCCCAAGCACCAGAAGTCATTATTCTGTTTTTGTTTTTTTATGGCACTAGTGAATGAGAACCTAAAGTCTTAGAAAATCCTAACTTGAAAAGGAGTCTCTAATCGGCATGGTTTGATTATTTTACCTTTTCCCCCCTAAAGACTTGAATGATTTTCTTTCCTAGTGCTATGTGATAGATCTGTAATAAGTGAAACCTTTGCTGCTATTTTCCTGGGTTTACAACAGTTTTCTTCTTCCCTTAAGAATAATTTATCTGTTTTTCTCTGATGACTGTTAATTTCTAACAAGTGCAGGAGAGGTGAGCCTGAGATTTCTTCTCTTACTCCCATCCTCACCCTACCCCCAAGTTATACACTAACCTCTACAACCTCTGTGGGATGGGGTGCCTCTCTTGGAGCTGGCCCCTGAGGCTCTGTAGCTGCCAGCACTGAGGGTTACTTCTTAATTTTGCCTTTCTCCATTCCTGTTTTATGACTCAACTTTCAAATGCCTCCCACTCTGGCCGCCTCCTTTTTCCTCCCAGGAATCATTTCCAAGTAACCTGCCTTGGGCATATCCCAACTGCTCTCCTCACCTTTGCCCACCTTCCAGTGACCCTGAGAGCACAGACCTGAGAAATGCGACCTGTGCAGAGCTCAGAGAACTGTGAGGACTACCCCTGCCCGTCAGACTCTGCCTGGGGACAGAGATGGATGGGTAAATGGTGCTGTGGGAGAAACTTTTATCTTCAAACCAGGCTCTTTCATCCCTGTACCCAGTGGCTCCCTCCTGTTCCCAGCCCTTGAGGGGGTAAAATGCAGAGGAGATTGACTGGCAGGGTCTGGTACCAAACATCATTATCTGGCCTGCCTAAGCCTCCCCCAGCCTCTGGCCTGCCCTGGAGTGCTTCAGTGTGTGGGAGCTGCTGCTTACTGCTTCTCCACTAGGCCCGCCCAGCGCTTTGCCAGTCCCTGGCATCGACAGCTCCCCACATGGTGACCCGACGCCAGGTTCCATTCGCTGTCCAAGTGACTGTTTCCACTACTACTTTTGGCGCTTGAGATTGCGGGGGAGGGAGGGTTATTTAAAATAAATAAAAGCCAAGGTGGCAGTAGAGGATTCCTTCTGCTTTAAAATCGTTGGACTAAAAAGAAATGTTTTTTATATATAAATATATAAAGTAAATTGTTATGTAACTATTCTTGTTTCCTGTATGTTCTAATTTTGTTTTATGATGTAATTAAAGGAAATAAGCTGTGAAGACTTTTCATTTTGCTGCGGAAATAGCCTGACTTGGAGCTGTGATTCTCTACTTTCTTGAACCCTAGAGCTGCACAGGCTCCCGAGGCTCAGTGAAGGGGCTTCTTTTTGGCACCCTTATATTTTTTAATAGAATTTAACTAATAACCTTTAGTTAATAACTTTTTAGTAGCCTTTTTTTAATACACAACTCTACTTGTCTAAGAAAAACAAGACATAATATAAATCAGGATTTCTAAAATTCTTGTTCTAATTTGATGTAACAATTCATCCTGAGTTCCTTATCTGTGCAGTCCATTGACCTTACCTCGCCTAGGAAGGAGTGAAGATGGTTAAACACAAGCTCCCAAGTCATTGCCTGACCTCCACCCAAATGACCTGAATGACCTGCTATCTCATCTTGCTTTAGAGCTGTAAAGGTTAAAAGAGGTAATAATGGCACATTGTAAGCATTCACATGCTACCTGCTTTATTCCCTTCATTTCAGCAAATATTTCAGTGTCTGGTCTGTGCTGGAGGCTCCAGTTGAGAGATACACAAAGGTTAATGAAATGGGGTCCCTATCCTTTTGGTGGAGATGAGCAGGGGAGCCAAATCTGCAATCAAAATTTATATCTCAGGCTGTCTATCCTGCCATGAAATGCCCTCAGGGAACCTGTGAATTCATAGACCTCTCTTGAAATCCACTCATTCTGCACGTGGTAAAGGTCTGGTCTGGGTTGGTAATTTGGGTGAGGCCGCCGGGGTTACAGGGGTACAAGCAGTTGTCCATGTTGGATCAGTCCTGTATGTTGAGGGAGATACTTTTTACGTCTTCAAGGATAAACAGACTTCCCCTTCCCCAAGGATATATATATATTTTTTTTTTTTTAATACCCAAGGATATTTTTTCCATTGATTTTTAAGGAGTGGAAGGGAGGGAGACAGAGGGAGAAACATCAATGTGAGAGAGGCCCATCGATTGGTTCCCTCTCGCACACGCCCTGACGGGCTGGGGATCCAGCCTGGAACCAAGGTACATGCCCTTGACTGGAATTGATGGCGTGACCCTTCAGTGTGTGAGCCGAAGCTCTAACCACCGGCCAGGACCCCCATTCCAGCCAGTGTTCAGAGCCTTCTCCCTGCCTGCCCTCCCTAGCCAGAGGCTGCCTGCTTTAAAACTCCCCGAAGATGGCCAGTGAATCATTAAACAGGGATTAAGCAGAGGGTGCCTGGGCCTGTTTTCCAATCCATGCATATAGGTTTTCTCTCTTCAGTATTTTTTTTTTTGTGTGTGTGATAACATTTTGAGGGAAAGGAATGAAAAAATGAAGCAGCCCTAACCGGTTTGGCAGTGGCTAGAGCAACAGCCTACAGACTGAAAGGTCCCAGGTTCGATTCTGGTCAAGGGCATGTACCTTGGTTGCAGGCACATCCCCAGTAGGGGGTGTGCAGGAGGCAGCTGATCGATGTTTCTCTCTCATGGATGTTTCTAACTCTCTACCCCTCTCCCTTCCTCTCTGTAAAAAGTCAGTAAAATCTATTTTTTAAAAAAGATGAAAAAAAAAATCAGAATAACATCACATTTAAAAAGCACTTAATATAAAATCGGTTTTCTGCATGGAAAAATATACACACAAAAATCAGTTTCCGGTGGATTGACCTAAAAGTGAAATGCAAAATTAAAATTTAAACTTTGAAAATGTTTGTTTATATTTATGACCTTAATATAGGGGAAGACCTAAAAATTCAAAGATTAATAAGTTCAACTGCATTTTAAAAATAAGACCCCATGGCCTCAGTGTTTAAGAAGAGTAACAGAATTTCCCAAGTCTCTAAAACTGCAGTTTGAATAAGTACAGCGATTTGATAGTTGAATGGTCTTTCGGAGGCTTTAGCGAATAGTTGTTGCCCTAACTAATTGAAATTTAAAAAAATCCAGCCAGATTTATTTATTCCTATCGCAGACTCTATCCCTTGCCCTAGTCTATAGTTTAGGCAGAAGACAATTCTCGAGAGTACCATATCATCAAGAAAATAGAACAAGACCTGTTTAAATTAATTTGCAAAAAAGGAAGAGGTGAGTAGAATTTTAAACACAAATTCACTCATTGTTCAGCAGCACTGCTTGGGGCAAAAGCTCATCCATATTGCCAGGTTTCTTGCCTCACAAGGCTTGGCCAGTTTAGCTCATCTTGGGAAGCTGTGTCCCAGGTTCTAATAACTTGCTGCCGAGCAGTAAGAAATGTGAGCCTGGGGCTGCTTGCTGCCTCCCCAGGGGAGAGGTACAGGACGGTCCGGCTCTTCACCTGGAGCCTGGGGAAGCATCGAGGATTTTCTGGAGAACCAGGCTGGCATCAGTTTCCTCTTGCAGCAGGGCGTCCCTGAGCTTAGGTCAGCACCAGGTAGTAGCCATCTGGATTCTGCACTGAAAGCAGTAAAAAGGGCACCACTGGGGTGAGGCTGCCCCCAACCACCACCAGGATGCGCTCCCAACAGTGAGCGGCCTGCAGCGCACCTGCGCACCCCAGTGTCTTCCCCTCGCCTCCCATCCACCTTCTCAGGAAGCCGCCCTGTGCACTGTGGCATCACAGGAGGGGCCGGGCAGGCATCCAGAGGACCAGGACTACCCGCTGACTGGTCAGCAAGCACCTGCCCTTCCGCTTGGTTGTTGCAGTTTGTGGGGGTTGGGAAAGGGGGGGTGGGGGGGCTTACCTTCCATGGTAATACACTTATGAGAATGCATTTATTCAGTCACGTTTTTCCTGAGCAATAAATAGCTGTCTTTTTGCTATATGATCTCAGTCTCTGACACAAAACTGGTGTCTCCTTCTAAAACTCCTACCTTTTCTCACCACGGCCACAAAGTACGCTTCATCCTTAAGGTTCTGAACCACCTGCAAGGGAGAAGGGGTCACTAAGACAATTCCGTTCTTAGAGCCCAGCGGAATAAGCCAGGTAAGTAGGGAGAGGGAAAGGAGTGACAAGGCCTTGGTGGAGCCTTATAGGGAACCACCGCCCCTCACCTGGTCGCTAAGGAGAATGAGGATACCCCCAGGGCCCTGGTGGAAGAGGCGGTGGATCTGATTGGCTGGGAGGTTCAAGAGCTCTGCCAGTTTTCCCATCAGTTCAATGGCGCTGAGTTCGTCCAGAGAAATCTCTTGATAAAAACCTGGGATGTGGGCAGCAGGGGGTCAGTGGGGAGAGAGGTCTAGAGGGAATCCCAGATACCAGGAGGAGAGGGCATGGTGACAGCCTCATGGTGGGTGTGAGGGGACAGAGGAAAGAAAGAAAAAGGCTCATAAACCCACTTAGTCTTCACCTCCTATTCCTCAACTGAGGGGAGGCCCCAGTTGAAAGAGGAGATGGGACATCTACATATGAAGGACCGAAACCCAAGAACAGTAACAAGATTATAATGGGTTTTTTTTGTGTGTGTTTTTAAATATATTTTATTTATTTTTTACAGAGAGGAAGGGAGAGAGATAGAGAGTTAGAAACATCAATCAGCTACCTCCTGCACATCTCCTACTGGGGATGTGCCCGCAACCCAGGTACATGCCCCTGACCGGAATCGAACCTGGGACCTTTCAGTCCGCAGGCCGACGCTCCATCCACTGAGCCAAACCAGTTTCGGCAAGATTATAATGTTCTAATCCCACATGCTAATAGAATGACAATATCAGAAGGGGTTAGGGAGAGAGCGTGGAGGAATAAACCCAGGGAGACATCCTGGAAGGAGAGGACTAGTCTGGTCATGGAAGGCAGGGGAATGCAAGGAGGGCATGCGGGTCCCAGGAATGGTGGGGCACCACCCCTTCCCCAGGCAAGAAGAGGGTTCATGCGGCCACACCGTTTCTTCCGGAGAGGCCAGAACCTCACCTGGTTCCGGGTTCTTAGGAACCTCGTTCTCTTGCCTAGAGGCCTCCTGAGCCACATACAAAGTCAGCCGGTGACGGATGGGCCTGGGCCAGGAAAACAGTCTCAGCCCTTCATATCTGGACCATCAACTCCCGCTTGGAGCCCCCATCCCTGAGAGACCCCGCCCCTCCCAGGTCTCCAGGGAGAGAAATCGCCACGCATTTCTTAAGCTTGTAATGAACGCTAGATTCTGGGGGAGGAGATAGGAAAATCTAACTCCCCAGAAACTGCGTGATGCAGATGGGATGGTCACAGGAGAGGTCACGGGAGCCTGGCTTTTTAGCCCAGCCCTGCCAGTCTGTAACCTCAGGAAGATCAGTGTCCTTTTTGGGCCAAAGTTTCTTCCTTTGTATAAAATGAGGGCGGGCAGTAAGTGGCCTTCAAGGTGCCTCTTGACTTGAACGTTCTGCTAGCTGAATTGGTAGGTGCCACTACAGAGGGCAGGGGACCCTGTTGGCAGTGCCCAGCACCTGGCTCTAAGAGTATTGAAAAGGCGGATCCCGTCGGCAGCCCCGCAGATCTGGATCAGGTCCTGCCGGGTAAGCTTCAGCAGATCGGTGCCTGCAGAGGCAGACAGAGCCAGATTGGGGAAGAGGCCTGGGATCGAGGCTGGCAAGGGACACAGTCCAACATGAGCCTACAAATAGCCCTAGTATATCCGGGTAGACTTAGAGCCACACCCCGGCTCTGTCACTTGCCAGCTGTGTGTCCTTCCGCAACGTATTGAACCTCTCTGAGCCCTGTTCTCAAGAGCGAGTGTGTAAATTATATAGGATAATATGAGAGGAAAAAACCTAGCAAGCATGGTGCCTGGCAACTCTTAGTCCTAAATA